CACTTGAGGCACAAATGGACCAGGTTCAAATGATCCTACTTCGGACACATTCTCTGAAGTCCTCACTCTGGAGGAGGCTCTGATGCTAGGAAAGGTGGAAGGAAAGAGAAGAAGAGGATGACCAGTAGCAAGGGGGATGGACTTGGTTACAGGAGCAATGGGGGCATCACTGGAAGACCTGAAAGACCTGGTTGGGGACAGAAGATCACAGAGAGAGTCTATCTATAGGGTCACTAGGAGTCAACATTGACTTGATGGCACTCTATCCATCTATCCATCTATCCATCTATCCATCTATCCATCTATCTATTTTTCTTCCATCACCTATCTATTCATCTATCACCTACTGTATGTATCCTCTATCTATCTTCTATCACCTATCTATCTATCACAGCCCCGTCCTGTTCACACGGAGGTTGCAGAGTGTGTGTGTGTGTGCGAGCGCACATGCATTTCTCCAACAAACCGGGTGTTCGGGATGCCAGGCCCATTCCAATGATGCAGGGTTGAAAGACACATCGGGAGCTGATTGCAAAGAGGCGTCACTTCTGCCTCCTTGGCTCATACCGCACAGGGGACAGCTTTCGGGACCAGCAGGTGGAACAAAACCGCCTAATATTTCCCACGTTTCACAGAACTCCGCCGAGCCCTTCAGAGCGTCGACTTCGAGTTCCAGCAGCTTTTCTAAAAAACTGGTTGTCAGCCCACAAACCTGCTTTCCGTGAACGGGCATCAAAGCTTCCGTTTCAAGGGATAAAAAATGGAGGGTTCAACACAAATGTAACTCCCTTCACATCTGGTTCACAGCTCTGGATCTGTGACCTTCACTTTAGACCCTTCACTGCTTTTGGAGGCTTCATAGACCAGGTTTCCCTGATTTGCTACACTGTGGCATACAAGCTAAATAATGGCTTACGGTTGGGTTCACACAACACATTGGCTACTGTTGTGTAGTGCATGAAATTTACTTAACCATGGCTTATTGAATAAACCACAAATAATGGTTTACACAAAACCCTAAGCTACAAACCCTGAATTCTAATTTATAAAGCCTAATTGTTGGATGCAAACACTCACCCAAACCAAACAAACATGGCTTAGGAAGACATGTGGATCCAGACCTGCTCGGCATCTAAGTCTATCCAGGACCATCCAAGATGATGCTCCTTCAGCTTCTAATCTGGAGTGACTCCAAATAAAATTTAGACCAGAAAACTGCTAGAATACTCCTGTTCTCACCCACAAAGCACAAACACCCCTAAGTTTGGTTTCTCCAATGAATTATAAACTTGTTCAGACCCGTTTTGCAGTTTCCTCTTTTAGGCACGTCCATTTCCTCCTCTGGACGAGCCGCACTCAATATTTCAACTGCAAGTTCAGTTTTTGGCTGGCTGACAGCTACCCTTTTATTCCTCTGCTGCTTTCCTGAGCAAACTTTTTCATGTCCTGAGCAGGAAATTATCTTTTCTCCCTCCCTTTTTCTCTCTTCTCAGCCTCTCTCCTGCATTCGCGTTCACTTCTCCTTGAATCTCGTGGGCATTTGAAAAATGATAATGAATAACATTAACGATTATTAACGCATTAATAGCCATGCCAACTGTTGACTCATATTAATATCAATTCTTTTTCCATTAGTATTATTACTTTGCACAGCAAGCTTTTGCTCCCCGGTTTTCCATTCCCCAATAAAGGATTCCTTTCGTTAAAACATGTTTCACCCCTTTCCGTTCCAGGGTAGCTAAGAGACGAGAAAGCTAAACCATGGCTCCTGGCTGGTTTAAAAGATGTGGGAGGTGGGAATTCCTTGGGAACATGACAATTTAGAATGGTAGGCTTGGAAGGGCCCTTGAGGCCCTCCAATCCAGCCCCCAACTCAGCCCAGGAGTCTTCAAGCAGAAAGAAAAATCAGCCCCAATGGAGCTGTTGAACTAATCTGAGGGATTTTTAGTCCCCACTTTCTCCAGTAAAGCCAAGCCCTGAATTCTTTCTCTGAATGCCGAAGATGCCCACTGAATCTCCAACAGCGCCAGGAAAACTCCCTCGAAAGAAAAACCACAGAGAAGGTGTGCTTTAAAGATGGGGGACCCCCACTCCCCCAAACCCACAGGGCAGGTACAAAACCTGCGGGCAGACTCACGGTGCAGGCAGCCGGCTTCTTCGCCCAGCTGGGACCAGCCCGAGCAGCATCGGTGGGCTGTCTGAGATTGCAGGCTGTAAACGTGACGGTGGTCTGTATAATACAGCACCCTAGAAGAGCAAGGGGGGGGGCAGAGGAAGACAGATGCTTAGCGGGGCAAACATCTGGAACATCTGGAAGGCCCAGCCTTCAGCACCATGAAAAACGTGGGGAATTCAGTGACAATTAGAGGTCTAGCAGGGGGTGTCGTCTTCCAGGTTTTTCTGTTCTGTTCTGTTCTGAAATGTTTCAGCTTGCCTCCCCAAGGCTTTGTCCTCCGCACCATCCCTCAAAAGGTTTTCCTTCCTTGCCAGCCCTCCTGCCCACCGCAAAGCGGAGAGACCCCGCGGGCACGGAGGTAAAAGCCATGCAGGAAAGGATTTGCTGGTCGTGATTCGTTCTCTCGACCAACGTGCCGGCATGCACACTTTTACACACGTGTGTTTAGCAGTGTCTGAAGGGCCCGTTTCAGCCACAGCCCCTTTTCAGCCACTCGCACAAAGGTTTTGCCGTCTCGCGTTTCAGTGGCACCTTATTCTATCTCTTTTTTTTTTCCAGAGCGTGCAAACTAACCTTTCCAAATGATCAGGGTTAGTTTGATGCTCGATGTATCATGTTCTTGCTTCATCTAGCCCAGTGTTTCTCATCCTTAGCAACTTTAAGTTGAGTGGACTTCAACTCCCAGAATTCTGGCTGGGGAATTCTGGGAGTTGAAGTCCACCCATCTTAAAATCACCAAGGTTGAGAAACACCGATCTGTCCCCTTCTCTCTCCTTTCTAATCTCTATCTATACAATACAATGCAGACTTTAATATTAAATAATTAGTTTAAAACTGAAACAATGATCACATAACTGATACTTCACAGTGTTTTTTTTTCCTTTGTCCAACGTTATACTTAACTTTTATTTTATGCATGAAAATATTTTATTTTATTTTATTTTATTAAAATATTATTTTAATATTTATTTATATTTTATATTTATATTTTATATTTTATATTTATATATTATATATTATATTTTATTTTATATTAAATATTTTATTTAAAATATTAAAAAATATTTTATTTATTTTATTTTATGCATGAAAATATTTTTTACTCATTTTATGCATGAAAATATCGACACCCTAAATCGTCATCAGTATTGACAGAATTCTTCCATTTCTTTCTCCGTTTTCAACGCCTTTGGCTTTTGAAAGAAGAGAATGTTAATATTTTTTCATCATGTTACTGTAAACAAATATCACTGCGTTGGAACGATACAATGTATCAAAACTTCTAAGGATATAATAAAATAAAAGGGAAAATAGAAACAAATTAGGATCTTGTGAGTCCATCCAGGATAAGCAATTCATGGCGATGTGGATCAAAGGACTGATTGCCCTCCGTGAGGGAGGTCAAAAAAGTCAAGATGGTGCCTGCAAAAACGGGGTGGGGCTTTGATCACACAGTTGAGGCTGCCATTTTGACCTTTTTGACCTTCGCTGGGAAAACCCGTCCCAGGATTCTGGCCCCCTCCTTCCTGCCTTGCAAACTCAAGAAAAGGATCTAGAAAGCAAGCCCATTCACACATACCTCCGATCGTAGCTTGCACACCACGGGTGTCTTCCACAACCTGGTTTCCACACTTGGACCCGCTGGGGGAAGGGCCGGATCCGCGGCTGCAGGCGACTGACCATCACCAGTTCTTGACTGGTGCAAACATTGGGCCTGCGTGAAAACCAAGTTTACAAAGAGGAGAACAATATAATCTTGCTGCCGATTTTCCTTCCGAACCTATTTTGGTGGGGCACACGAGGTTGGGTTTTAATCTCAGTTAAACCAAGTTGGGTCAACCTCTTTTTAACACGCTTCCCGGATCCCTGTTGAATCTGAGATCACCGCCGTTGTGAGCGAGAGCGTGGTGAATATCTGCCAAAGGCCCCAAGAATTGGCCGCAATTCATAAACCATGGCCAATTTCAGAGAGTTGGTTAGTACTTCAATTAGATCTTAATTTAGAGCTGGATCTCTCCAGCTAAATCCTCCTCACCACCTTTCTGCAGGGAGAAATCAGGCTACGTGCTTTTTCAGACCTATAAAACAGAAGCCCAACAATCATTTGGGGGGTCTGCATTTCCCCCCAGCCCACATAAACTCTAAATCGTGCGAGATCAGATTTCCACTGAGTTTTTACTTCCAACAGGGTCTATCGCTCTCAACAGTTCCTGGTGGTCTCCCATCCAAAGGCTACATGCATAGGTAGATATCCATCAGGTTTCCTCTCCAGGCAAGAAACTTTACGCAGAATGCAGAAAAGCTGCACTAAAAGACAAGCCAAAAATCGCAGGGCTGAGATAAGAGGAAGGGAAAAGGGCTAAATCTGGTTCGCGGCCATTCCACGCACGAGACCGCTCCGAACCTTTCGGTTCTTTCAAATGGCTATTTTGCCACCTTCAGAGCCCTTTTGTTCTTTAAATATATTGCCTTTGGTTTAACCTTCTCCCCTTTCTGTTTCTAAGAACTCGTCAGCCCCATCCAGATACAACCATCTTGGTCTTCCCTTCCTCTCAACACTTCCTCCCTGCCTTCGTTCTCTCTCTGTCTTTCCTTCCTTCCTCTTTCCTCCCTTTCTCCCTCTCCTTCCTTCCTTCCTTATTTCCTTCCTCTCTTTCCCTCCTTTCCTTCCTTCCTCTTTCCTTCCCTTTTCTCCCTCTCCTTTCTCCCTCTCCTTCCTTCCTTTCCCTTTCCATATTTTAATCTCTATCGAAGTACACCATGTACATCTGCCTCTGCATTCTTCCACATTCTCACATCATCTATGGCTTCCATTTCATCCATTTTGTTCTTGGATTAACCCTGCAAGCCAACCTGAATCCCTAGAGTAGAAGGTACATGGCCTATTCCAAGAACCAGGTTGAAACCTGGTTAGCTGCCGTTGCTTTCTGTGGTAATCATTCCAACTCACTGCAGCTTCCCTGGCTGCCCCCAGTTCCCAGTCTGAAAAAGCCTAACGGGAGAAGTTCCCCTCGGTTGCCTTCCCTTGTGACTGAATGGAAGGGGAGGGAAGTCAGGGAGGCTGCAGACTCTGCATCTGCATCTTCCTGTCCCTCTCCAGCCTCCATGGCTGCCTTTCCCTCCTGATCTGAAAAGTCCCATAGAAGAACAACCCTTGGGATTGAATGGAAGTGAAGGAAACTAGGGAGGCTGCAGATGGCTGGAGAGAAGACACTGGTTGTGTTTTACTGTTCTGTGTCTTCCCATCCCTCTCCAGCCTCCCTGGCTGCCCTCCCTTCCTTTCTGAAAACGTCCGCTGAAGACATTCCTTTGCAATTGAACGGAAGGGGGGAAGCCAAGGAGGCTGGAGAGGGCTGGAAAAGGATGTTCACTGTGTCCTTCTATCCTTCATCTTCCCATACCTCTCCAGCCTCCCTGGCTGCCCTTCCCTCCTGATCTGAAAATTACTTGTAGGAGAAATTCCCTTGAGATTGAATGGAGTGGGGTGGGGAAGCCAGGGAGACTGTACCCTGGCTGTGCAATGAAAGACAGGGCACGCACATGTGCACAGACACACCTTTGGCCCCCTCGAGACTCAGAGAAGCAATCCACCCAGGAAGACATTGCCAAAATATTCTTCGCTTTTGAGAATCCACCCCCAAGCAGGTTCTTCCCTGTCCCCCTGAAACTGCCAATGTTTTCCGACACAGCCGGAGCAAGAATTGTGCGGGCAACCTTCCTCATCCTTCGAGAAAACCTCAAAACACTTCTAACCACAGATATACATACTTTAACCTCAGAGAATGTCAGCCTAGCTTCTGACAAGTTGTGGCCTGATTACTATGCCAGGTCTCATGCCCTGGAGAGGGTGGAGGATCTCCACGTCCCCAAAGTAAAAACATGATTTGGCTGTCAAGCTAATCCAAGAACTACAATCGGCCTGCAGGACAAAACCTGTTGAGAAGCAGGACGTGCTCAGCTAAATAAAAAACAGACCCATCCAAAGCTATCTGGAGTTAGATTCAAGAAGCTTTGGATAAAGCAGAGCCCCCCGAGACTGAAAAGATTGCCTGGAACACCTGGATGGGAGACCACTTGGAAATGAACCGCTGTTGGCTGAAAGAGGATCTTGAAAATCCAAAACTCCAGCAGCAGCTTTCGACAGCCGCCAAAAGAGAGAGAAAATTCAAAAAGGCTGTCTGGATTTTTACAGCCGAGATCAAGTTGCTTCCTGCAAGCAGGAAGGATTCAGCCACCTCCTCCTTATTCCCAGGGAACCGACATGAGATCAGGAAGAAGCTAAATTTGAAGGCGATTTCAGCTTTTCACGCGACGCCTTAGCACTTAAGGTTCAGTAGCCTTATTTAAGAAAAAGAGCCCAAAGTTTGAGAAACTCATTTTATTTATATTGCAGTCTGCAAGCATCATTAATAGGTGTTTTTTTTTTTTTTTTAATGCTCCTTTTCAACTGAAACTAGGTATTTTCAGAGCAGAAAAGCTAGGCTGAGTTGGCATGGTAAGCCGTGGTTTGTTTAATCACAATTTATGGAACAAGCCACATTGATGCAGCGCTCAAAAACATAAGCCATGATTTGCTAAGGAGGTAATGTGGGGAGGGGTCTGTTTTCCATTTTCCAAAATGCAGCATCAAATACAGATATTGTTGGATTAGGAGCGATGAAACTCCGATTCAAAATCACCATCAGCCACAAAAGTTCATAGGGTGATTTGAGGCCAGCCTACCTCACAGGGTTGGCGCAGAGGGAATGAACGTATGGGAGATCCCTCCCCTGGTTGCTTTCATTTGGATTCCTGCATGAAGCAGAGGTCAGCCTTGGGGGTTTCAAGGCCCCTTTCAACTCTGAAGTCCAAAAATCAGGAACATCCTCTGCTTAGTCCTCGAGAGCGTTGCCGTTTGTATGTTAAAACCTGTACCCAAAGGGCGAAACCTGCCGTCCTCTCTCCAGCTTCTAACTTTTAACATAGAAACAGCAGCGCTCTCGGGGACTAAGCGGAGGGTGTTCCTGATTTTAGGTTAGAATCTGCTGAGCTCAAAGCCAAAGGATGGGGACGTCTATTCCTTCCTTGGCGTAGTTGCCTGCAAATGCTATTCTCTTGGGACTTTTCTTCTTCTTCATCTAAGGATGTTTCTTGAGACCAAACCCTGGCTTGGGGTGTGATATAAACCCAGCCACAGACTAGGTTTACATCTCATGGTAAACTATGGATTGCTTGGGTGAAGCCAGCTATGCCCTCAACATGGTCCCATAATTCCCAACCTGCATGGCCGTTGCAAAGAATTCCCCAGCTAGCATGGCCGCTGCAGAGAACTCTGGGAGTTGAAGTCTGCACTTCTGGACAGCCCCCAAGTTATGAAAGACTGACCCATGACTGAACTAGTACTGAATTACATCTGAGAGGCTGAAAACTCAAATCCTATAAAACAAGGGAGAATCAAAACCCCATGCTAAGCTCTGTTTAAATCATAGTTTGCTTAATCATGGTTTGTTCAACATGGCCTCAATCTAAGGCAGGATGGTGCAGTAGTAAGGTGTAGCAGGACACCCAGGTCCCAGTTGGCCTCTGGATGTGGAAGCTCGGTGGGTGAGTTTAAGCCAGCCATTTCCTCTGGGCCTACCTCACAGGGCTGTTGTAGGGATAAAATGAAGGGAGGTCTCCACATTTTGCTGCAAAGATAGGATACACATCTAACAAAGATAAGCACTGCATAATCCCTTAATGGCACACAGAATTTGGGTGTTTTCTTCACTCACCCTCCTTTCGTAGCTTGCAAGGCTCAGAAACCAGCATAAGCTGGCTTGCGCTTTGCGCTTCCCAGCTTCGACCCTAGCCTGACTCCTGGACACACCCGTGCCTTTTTCCGAGCCAAGAGCTTCGCACACCGATTCTTACACCCATGGACTTGGCCGCCGCAACCCTGCAACCCTCGGATTTCCCGGTGGTCTCCCCTCCAGGTGCTCAACCACCCTGCCCCAACCATTTCCGATCCCGCCAAGTTGGAAAGGTGGCCGCGGCGGCGGCGGCCGGCTAGGCTGACCCTGACCCGGAGGGAACCAGGAGCCCCATACTCACATGCCGGGCAAGA